GGAGAGGAAGGGTAGGACACACACACACACACACACACACACACACACACACACACACACACACACACACACACACACACACACACACTCACAAACACATGTGATGTTTTTGGTGGACTGTACAATAACTCTGTGTGTGTTTTCAGGACGGCTTGGGTTCAGAAGATCAAGGCTGCATCTGAAGAATTTTTTGAGACAGAAAAGAAAAAAAGGGAAAAGGCCTATCAAGGTTTGTCTCTGCACTCACCCAGCCGGACTGATGTAACCAATGTGATGATCTCTTTATGAATCCATCGTGTGTGTGTGTGTGTGTTTGCAGCACGATCTGTGAAGGCCAGTGGAATAGGACGGCTCCTCGTCACCATCTTGGAGGCCACTGAACTGAAGCCAGCCAAACCTAACGGTGAGCTGGAAGCAGTCGTGTTCGAAGGTGGTCCTTCCACCTCAGTGGACTGAGAAACACACCTTGAACCTAAAATGTTTTGGTAGAATCCAGATGTAATCCCTGCTGCGTGCTGCACGCACTGCTGCATAGATGTCTAATGAAGCCAAGATGATAAGCCACATTTAATTACGGTGCTCTGTCATCCCTTTTTTCATCCGTTCACTTTCACTTAAGAGTCCCTCTGTGTGCTTAGTGCTTGTGCCTCACTTAAAAACATTACTATTATTTCCTTAGAGGGAATGTCTGTTTTAAAACTGAAATAGTTAAATATTTTAATTGTAACCCTGTAAATGGCACTTTGTTTAAATAATGGCAGTCAGAAAAATGTGTGTCCAAATCTATTAGTGTTAGAAAATTGATAAATCTGGTGGAAACTGGGAGAAGCCACGGCTCTAGATGGAATGACCTATAATAGATGTTTTCTGAAATGGCTGTCAGTTTTAATGGGAACTTGTTGTGCTTTAGGCTCTTATTATTTTGGCTAGAGAGATTATTATAATTGTATTATAGGAGCTATGGTTGAACTTTCAAAACTTTGATTAAAAAAACCTCACACCTTTTTCAAAATGAATGCCGTACTGCATTAACACAGACGAAATGGGGCCCAGTGGTTAAATGCTCTTCATACTTTCTTTCTTTCTTTTTTCCTGTCCCTCTTCTTCCCCTCGTTCCTGTCTGTATGTTGTTCCTCTATCTTAATCTGTCTGCTCCCCTGTCTTCATGTTCCCTCTCTAGGTAAAAGCAACCCTTACTGTGAAGTGACCATGGGAGCTCAGATCTTCACGTCCAGGACGCTCAACGACACCCTGAACCCCAAGTGGAACTTCAACTGTCAGTTCCACATCAAAGACCTGTACCAGGACGTCCTGTGCATCACCATCTTTGAAAGGGACCAGTTCTCACCTGACGGTCAGTCACCTGCTCATTACTGCCCATTTTATTTCTCCCCTCATTCCTTCCAGCTGTGGAAATACCGTCATCAGCCAAAAATGTGCCCATTGTTGTTGCTTGATTTTAACTTGGAGCAGCTGCAGTAATCATGTAGCTTAAATTACCTACCGGCATACCTTTCTGTAAGTGTAAGCAAATGCTGTTCTTTTTATATGTAACACCTTTCCATGTTTTCCCCCTATCCCAAGCCTGCTGATTTATCTGTAAAGCCCCAAAATTAAGTGAAAAAATGAAGCTAACAAATGAATTTAAATGGCCGACTTTGCTGAAGACTCTGAAATAATTTTGACTTCTGGCCCCCAATTCTAACCTTTGTGTCACTGGAGCCCCACACATACCCAACTTTCACATTCTCTGAGCTCTTTTAAAAGCCAATTGAAATAAAATGTTCCTTTTGTACTTCTTCTCTTCATATCAGACTTTCTGGGCCGGACAGAGGTTCCTGTAGCCACCATAAAGAAAGAGTTGGAAAACAAGGGTCCGGTGACGCGTCGTCTCCTGCTGCACGAGGTTCCTACGGGGGAAGTGTGGGTCCGCCTCGACCTGCAGCTCTATGGCCACAAATAGACTTTTATATATATATAGGATGAACTGAAATAATAATGGAGTCTTCTACAGAGACGACAACATTGGGATATTTTAATCCTGCAGTGTAACCAAAAGAGAACGGCTGCTTTCTGTCACCTAAACAAACTCAGACGGTTGCCCCCACATATCAAACAACACTCTCCTGATCGCGCATCACGCCTTAATATTTTAACAATAACCAGCACTAATAATACCTCTTCTGATGTCATCTGGATCTGCCAGTAGGCGATCAGGGTCAGAGTGACATCATATGGACCCACCAGTAAGAGACGGATCTTTTCTTCCTGTCTCATGACCTCAGAAGGGTAGCAGGACTGGTGCAGCAGTTTAGGCCTGAACATTATGTTCTGTACACTCTGAGGGAAAAGAACAACTCCAGCGTGGCTTCCTAAACACTGCAGGCACACAGTGTGACATGAAGCTGTATCTGGTTGAATGTTTAGCTTCCTTAGGGAGGCTGTTAAAAAAATATGAATAAATCAGCAAAACTTTACTATTATCTAAACTCTTAAAGGGATAGTTACGATGTTTAGAAGTTGAGTTGTATGTGGTGCTCTCTATATCAGTGTATAACCTACTGTAGGTGGACAGTTTGGAGAAGCGTACATGAGTCACAGGACAGAAGCAAAGTATTATTATGCTGTGGGCAGATGAACAAAATGTGTTTTAGTCACCAAGGCAAATATAACTGCTTGAGTTCCCTGTCAGAAAGGGCTTTCCTGTGGCAAGGTAAAGTGGTTTAAATTAAAAATAGCATAAACTGGTGTCTAAATGATGTTAAGCTGCTGCCCCAGTTCATTGCTTTATTTCAGTGTTGTAACTCCTGTCTGCCTTTTCACTCTAGTGTAGATAATACACTGACCATGGATAAGAAGCTCATTCAACCCCATTGAAAAAAGACCCAAACCAAGACAGACATTGGGTTTTAAGTGTCACACACTTTGCCAAGTCTGGTCAACCACGGCCATTTAATAAGTTGGAATGTTTTCTTTTAATTTACAAGAAATGTTCATGTTGACTCTTTTTTTCTGAGATTAGGTCATGACTGCAGATTTCAAGAGACTCTGCTCTTTGATCTGTAAAATCCTCTCATGGTGAAATTACTACCGTGGATTAGGGACAGCAGCTGGGTAGCTCTGATCTGAAGTCAGTTTATGCTGCAGATAGAAGATCTCAGGATACGTTGTTCTGGGATTCACATGTGTCACTGTAACAATGTTGTGTTTGTCTTTGTGTCTTTGGAGTGTTAACATTAAGTTGAAGTATAGCAATATACACATATTTTCAGCTGAGGGCTCTTGATGCTGCAACTTTTTACAAGTTAACTCATAATATCTGGCTTTAATGCAAGTCATCTTTTTTAGTCTTTTAAAGTCTGTTTCTGAAAAACTATTATTTGGGATAATGTGGGTCTTGTTTGTGGTCAAATTAATTAACTTTTTCTTTCCTGTGTAAAATCAGCTAAGGCCAAGTAGTGTGATTGCTAAAAGATTGAGGTGACAAAATTATTTTTTTCTTTGAGGTAAGACAGATTGTCAGCAATAACAAACATTATTTACTCATTTTATTTTAGTTCTTAACATTTTCACCCTACCACACAGACTTGTAGGTGTCATTCTTTAGCAACCGCCTCCTTGACAGCAATACTTTTCTCAAAACATCCCCCTTGAAAAGGTTACAAGGATGTTGTTTGTAAAAGCTTTTTATTTATGTTGTTGGTGGATTTGTTGGTGTTTTCTGCCCTGTTTTTATTCATTTGTCCTTTGCATCCAGTACCTTTTCTAACTATGTTCCTGCTGGTGCCCTGGATATTAACAAGAGAAGTGTTGTATTTATTTCTTAATTTATGCGTGTGTGACTATCCAACGGTTTGGAGCGGCTTTGCTTGCTGTGTCATCTTGGATAATCAGTTGTTCTCCACTGAGTTTGTTTTGTGTGACGTCAAATATTAAAGATGTGTTCATGTTGATAATTTTTTGAAAGGCAATATAACATCTTAGATGATTCTCTGCGATGAGTTTTTCTGTAAAGTAGGCTAGTTCACTCGTCGTTTTGTTAGGCCTGCTGGTTTATTATTCAATCCACAATACTCTGTTTTTAAGTACTTTATTAACGTTAATGCTATTTGAATATGTGGAAGATGTGCAAATAGACTGGACAGGTCTGTGTAGAGGTGTACAAGTTTGTCTTTTTATTTTTGCTTTTTATTTTCCGCAGCCTTCTGCATTGACTGCTGCTGTGCTAACTGAGTTTTAAGGCTTCTCTAACCCAGATTGTCTGTAACCTGCTGTCTGTACTCACTGCGGCCTACATGTGGCACTCTCTGAATCAGGGTTTCTCAAGTCAAATTAAAGATATTAAAAGTAAACAAACTGTCAAATTATTGGCTGTGACATTTAACCTTTGTAACTTTCAGCCAACATCTTCCTGCAGCAGTACTGAAGAGGTGAGTGACCCCCAACTTCAGCTTTAGACTCAACGAGTATTTATAAATGCTGCACGTTTATGAGCTGGGCTTTGACACCATTACATAAAAAAAGACCTTTTGCTGTCATTTTATCCATACTTGTTGTTCTAAAGTAAACACAGAGTATTCTTTATCATGCTCATTATTTGTTTTTTGTTACTACTGTTTACATGCTTTAATGTTCAAAAACATGTACATGCAAAAAAACCTATAGAACACACTGGAAAGGGACACATTAAAGCATGTAAACAGTAGTAACAAAAAACAAATAATGAGCATGATNGTTACATCAAGGCCGAAAAGTAGGATGAGCACCAACGGTCAAAAATGTTTTTTTCCCTCCCAGAGCTGCCTCCCCAGATCTGGTGTTCAGGGTAATCAACTGTTAAAAACATATTGTTCACATTTTTTTTCTCCAATAAATGGATGTTTTCAAAGTCAATGAATAATCGCATTTAATAAATCGCAATTACAATTATTGACCCAAATAAATCGAGATTATGATTTTTGCCATAATCAAGAAGCCCTACTTTAGGTGGCCTGAGCACTGTGATTGTAACCTTTATTTGTTTACTTTTACAAATACACATCCTTTATTAAGCTATGGGCCGTCCCTGTTTGCAGTGTATCTATTGATGTACAGATAACTGGGATTACTTTGATGCTGAAGAACACTTTAATATTAGAACAATTTTGGTTGTAAAATTACTTTCTTACACTTTCATGACAGATTCATGGAAGAATAGATAAATAATGATGTTGGCACAAGTCAAGCTGAATCTAAGAATATGTGCGTCATGTGCATATACAGGTTTGGCTGTATGCTATTTTATATGCATATTGTTATTTAAATCAGTCATCAGCTCAGTTCTGGTACTTGGCAAGCTCACCCAATAGTTTACTTTCACTTTTACAAAGAGGGAAATCCACTCTCCGCCGTAGCCTAGTTTAATTATGGTGACCAAATAGTGTTTGTGTTCATGAAGACTCACTCTGAGCTCTCTTCTTCTCCCAGCAGGGTCACGTATGATTTAGGGAACCAGCCCCGCTCACTGTTCAGCTCTCCCAGCCACCAGTTCTCCTGCTGCTCCAACACCTGGATCACATCGTCCTTGTTGAAGTTCAGATGGCTTTCTGTCTTTGCTGTCCACGAACACAGAGCCTGGGCCAGCAGGTTCCCCACCACCAGCTGAAAGACACAGAGAGACACAGAGTGCAGTGAGGGGGGATTCAAGGAGGAATCGCACAGCTTATGCATCCGGTCAACATGTGCAAACAAGACGAAACCTGTCATTCCCTCAAAGCATTAAATGCACCCTGACAAGCAAACAATAGACTGGTGTTCATATTTACTTGAACGTATTCAAATGAGGTAATATGCATACATTTGATGCAAAACCAGCCCCTTTCTAAAAAAAGTACCCTCTATTCAAGAACAGTCCAATTCACAAAGGTTGTCTTTGAAAAAATAAAAATAAGGTTACTATTTAAATAAAAAATCTAATAAAAATGCTTTACTCTCTTTATTTGGTTTGGATGGAATACACAGTCTTCTTCAGCCTGACTTTCACGCCTCCAAACAGTTGCATCGGCCTTAATCAAATGTGTACTTTGTCTCATGGATAATTGCGTGTTTACTTTGAAATATAATAATTAGTGCCTTTCATACTTTCATTGAATAAGACCATGAGACAGGGCAGAGGGCAGATCCAAAGTGGCTTCAATCAATTCTTTATGAATTCGCCCCTGAGTATTTGAGCGTTTCCATCTGTCCAGACAAGAATCACACTGTGATCATCAAAGGGTAGCAGCAGTAAAGTCACTGTTACACCTCTCACCTGTCCTTGTGTGTCAGAGGGCGCAGGGTTCGGTGAGTGTGTTGGTGTGAAGGCAGACTTTGTTCCCGCTGCCTTGACAGCCTCTAGCGCATTGGAGAGTTGAGACTGGAGCGCCAATTTAGGGGCAGGGGCCGCAGCCGCCACGTTGTTAGCTGCGTCCGATGGGGACGCCCTCTCCACGTAGCTCTCTGGGAACCAGCCCATCTTCCCCTGTCTGCTGCCGAACAGCCAGCCCTCCTCCCGCTCCGTTGTCTCATCCACCTGACAGGAGGAAGACAAGAACAAAGAAACCTTTGAACCGGGACAAAAAGGTTCTTTCTCCACTGCTGCAGTAGTATCTTGTGTCCAGCCCTCATTAGCCTTCATGTTCAATCTTACCTCGATGATATCTTCCGAATTGAAGTTAAGCTCTTCGTTGTTTCGGGCAGTGAACGGGTACAGAGCTTTGAAGGATGTTAGCGCCGCTGACTTCCTGTGATGTGTGGCTCTGGGCTGTCCTCCTAAAGCAGAACATCAGGGATCAGAGTTTAACTTCAAAAGTGCTTTTAATAAACGTAAAGTGTTGCAAACGTGCAGGTAAATGTGTAAGAGGTGAACTATATACATCTAAAAAAGAATAAGATGAGCTAAAAACTGAATTTAAAATAAAATACTGTTTCTTGTAATACTAAACAAATGTGTGAAAAGCAAACAGATAAATGCTTGAAGCTATCAAGGTGTGTGTGTGTGTGTGTGTGTGTGTGTGTACGTGTGTGTACGTGTGTGTACGTGTGTGTGTGTACGTGTGTGTGTGTGTACGTGTGTGTAGGTGTGTGTGTGTGTGTGTACGTGTGTGTGTACGTGTGTGTACGTGTGTCCTACCCTTCCTCTCCTCCAGTCCTCTCAGCAGAGCCGTCAGTTTCTCCTGAATGTCAGTTTCCTCCTCCTCCGCTCGCTTGCTGCTGACGAGACACCTCCTCCTTCCTCTTCCTCGTCTCCTCAGCTTTCTTCTTCTCCTCTTCCTCCTCTTTTCTCCTCCTCTCCTCTTCTATCCTCTTCCTATCCTCCTCACGCTTCCTCCTTTCCTCCTCTTGCTGCTGAAGCCTCCTCCTGTCGTCCTCTCTCTTCCTCCTCTCCTCGTCCTCTCTCTTCCTCCTCTCCTCGTCCTCTCTCTTCCTGCTCTCCTCAGCATCTCGGACGGCGGCCACAGCAGCTCTCTGTCTCCTCCTCTCCTCTTCATCCTTCTCTCGTCTCCTATCCTCCTCTCTCCTCTCCTCATCTAAGCGCTTCCTCTCTTCCTCCCTCTGGCGTCGCTCCTCCTCTTCTTTACGTCTTTTCTCCTCTTGCCTCTTCTCCTCCTCCAGTTTCCTCCTTTCTTCCTCTAACAGCCTCCTCTCCTCCTCTAGCTTCCTCCTCTCCTCGTCCTGCCTCCTTCTTTCCGATTGCTTAATCCGCTCCTCTTCCTCTCTCTTCCTCCTCTCCTCCACCTCTCGTCTCTTTCTTTCGGCCTCTTCCTTTGCTCTGAGCTCTCGTTCGGCCTGCTCCTTGGCGGCCTGGATGATGGCCTGTCTCTCTCTCTGCTCCTCCTCCCTCTGTTTGGCCTCCTTCTCCTCCTGAATCCCCCTCTGACGCTCCTCTTCGTCCTTCTTCAGCTTCTCCTGCCATTGGCGCTCTTTTTCCACCTTAATTCGCCTGTAAGCAGGAAGCAAACATTATTTTAAAAGTGCGTTTTAAGGCGAAAATAAATGTATTTCCCCTTTTTGTTTGAATTAACATTTCAAAATAGCTTATTATGGTCATTTTCAGGTTCATATTTGGATGTTGTGCCTCTACTGTGACATGGCTTAAAGGAGACCTATCATGCTATGTTTGAATAATATATTGTAGGGCCATACCTAAACTGTATAAGGTATATTTATATACAAACAGAGCATGCATTTTAGCCATGCCTCATTTCACTCTATTTTGCTCTCCTCCACCCTGTCTTTGCATCAGCTGCAGCTGACCACGCCCCCCTGCAAAGGAGGGGGCCGAGTTACGAGCGTCCTGTTACCATGCTGTTACCATGCTGTTACCATGCTACGCAACCTCTCATTCCCCTGATAGGTGGAGAGTTGCCCATATAGGCAGAGCTCCTCGTTCCTGACTTCAGAACAATTTTCAAATCTGGATCAGTCTGTTTCAGATCTGTTGCAGCCCCGTTTTTAGAGATTTGGGTACGGAGGAAAAGAGAGAGGGTTGTGTTTTCTGACACTTGATGAGTTCCCTGACTCACCGGGGACACATATTCATGTATAGAAGACGTACAAAGGTGCATTTTGCATGATAGGTCCCCTTTAAGGTTCAAAAAGGTCTTTATTTTTGTCATACTTTGCTGCAGCACCTCTTTTACTCTCTACAGCAGTGATTCTCAAACTTTTTTCAATAATGTACCCCCTTTGAAAAAACAATTCAGCCAAGTACCCCCTGATCAGCGGAAAAACTATTTGTTAGGGGAAAAAAGCCTATATAAAGAGGTACAGTACAGCGCTGCACCATCAGTGTCTGATTTATTAAAGCAACAACTGAGAAACACTTAAATGCTACATTTCAAATGTTTACAATCCATCACTAAATTCATGGCAAACCAATTTTAACATCATGCAATAACACTAAGACGACATTAGTTGCATTGAACTGATCTTTCTAATAAGTTGTACTTACAATGTAGTGAGAAACATGGGCTTGTGCTTCACTGAGGATCTTTGTCATTCTGACAGGAAGGCAACTGCAGTTATTACACTTAGTGTTTTGAAATATGTGTAACTCTAGTCTATTAATATAAAACCCACACTGCTCAAACTTCGTTACTTTTCCTAAAATTGGTATATCTATCTTTTTTTCATTAACAAAATAAATCTCACGTACCCCCTGCAGTACTCCAACGTACCCCAAGGGGTCCGTGTACCCCCATTTGAGAACCACTGCTCTACAGTACATTGATAAATCATAATTCTGCTTGAACATGACACATTGCAATGTAAAAGAAACAATAACACATCTATGTAAAAGCAAAGTACCTCTGAGCTTCCTCCTCCTCCCTCTGCCTTCTTTCCTCCTCCTGTTGTTTATTCTCTTCTTCTCTCCTCTTCCTCGCCTCCTCCTCTTCCTTCCTTCGACTCAGTTCACGCCGTTTGTCCTCTTTGACGCTCCGTAGCTTCTCAAGTGCTGCCTGCTGTTTTCTCTGGCTGTCTCTCAGTTCCTGCCACACAAAACACCTTTACTAGAAGATTGTTTGACTGAATGAAATACTAAGCTGACTAGATGGCGAAGGGCTGGAGAAACACAGCATGCACAAACACATACCAATCACATATAAACTGTAAGAGCCTAAACATTAAGCTATTGTAGGAGAAAGAGAGTCGAATGAAAAAATAGATATCGAGAGCTAAAACAGCACAGAAACAAGATGTCAGAGTTATGGAGATACATATTAGCAGGCGTAGGAAATAGAGATGAAAATATGAGAACAGCAAAGAGACATAAAGAGAAACCTTTAGTAGGTAGAAGAGGTTACGCAGGCAGGCCAGCAGACAGAAGACAGCCTGAAGCATAGAGTCCTCATCACCCACATGCTGTCAGGTTAGGAATAAAGAGACGAGTGAGGGGGAAGAGAGAGGAAGGAGCATTGGAGAGAGGCATCCAGCAAGGGAATAAAAGGAAATAAAAAGAGAATAAGTGGGAGGAATAAGAACAAGGTAAGACAACAGATGACAGAGTGATTCGATTAGTATCAGAAGGTCAGACCAAAAGTAATGATACATGGAGGAGAGAAAAGAGGCATCAATGGGCGAGTAGTGAGTAATATTGGTGGCATGGCATACAACAAATGAATTCACTTTTTAAAGCATATATCTTACATATGAAAGTGGTATAAAATGAGGCAAACAAGATATAAAGATGTTGTGATTTGAGTTTATCAGGAAAACAGCCAGTTCTTTGTTAAAGCTTCACTTAGTTAGAAAACACTGTTTCCTGTCGCTTCGATATAATAAAGAGCCTGCAAAAGAACAACCTGTACCTCTACCAGCAAAGAAGACTATTCAAATGATTGAACATTACTTCAGCAATTAATGAGGACATTCAGATACATTTGTATGAATCAGTCCATTCTGTACCTGCATATCTTTGTTGTACTGATCCATCTCAGACAGTTTGGCAGCCGTCTCTTTCTCCAGAACTCCAAGCTGCTCTCGCATTTTCAAACACATCCCTTTTTTCTCCATAACACCCCCAGTCAGCACTGATACGGTCGACGCTACAAACAGATGAAATACACTTAAGCAAGCTAGAGATTTCTAGTAAAAAAAATATTGTGTATGTACTGTATATCTGTATTTACATTTAATGATATAGTTCTTATATTCTTCACGGCCTTTCCATATATTAGTAATATTTCCATGCTTTTTAGTGAATATGTACTTTCATTTTTAAAGTGGTTTGATACATTAATTTATATATGTGCATATTATGTATTTATTTATATTTGCAATATATCCTGATTTTATTGCAATATTTCAGTGTGTTGTGTTCTTTTGTCAAACATGTGTCCATAGTTCTGCTGTAATGTCATTTCATCCATCAATACTAACCAGGCAGGTTGTTCAAGGACATGTTTCTGAGTTTCTCAGTCAGTCTCCTCTGCTCTGGATTCAGCTGGGACAACTTCCTCTGGAACTCCTGAACAAGAGGAAATGCATCGTCGCAACAAGAAATGAGTCATGGGAGGAAAATATTTGGGAAAGCATTGATGTATTCTCACTTTCTGAAGCAATGAACAAAGCAAATTACAGAGAACTGAGTGAAGAAGACAACTTTCTTGTTTTCTCTTATCATTATGAGGTACATTGTCATTGCACAATGTCATGGCAGTGGGATAAAGACACCATCAGTGTTTAGATTGGTTTCCTATAGAGAGGCGAAGTCCCTCCCTTTCCGGGGGAGCTCCATGGGACCTTATTTTGGAAAAATTATGTATTGAAGTCAATGGCGAGAGAAAAGTTATCTTTCGATCCTGTTTGAATTGTGACAAGAATTACACATATGATGTTTGTCAATTTAAAAGATAATTTTGCAAGTCAAAAAATTTAAATGTGTCCTAAAACTGTGAAGTAACACTTTTTTTGTGTGAAACCGCTCAATGAACTACATCTCCCGTCTCGCTCCAACACCAAGACGGCCGTCACGTTGGCACATTTCACTTCTTTCTTTCAGAATGAGGCGAAAAGTATTAAAAGAGGTGAAAATCACTCCAAGTCTGGGCATGTTGAGAGCTGTGCATACACACAAGGGGAGTTAGTCTGTTCCGTAAGAGCCAGCAAGCGCGGACTGGGATTTGTAGTCTTTCTAGTGGCGTATTTTTCATAGTCTTATATTTCAACAGTTTTACGACAAACTGTGACTTTTTTTACATGGAAATGATCTTTTAAATTGACAAACATCATATGTGTAATTCGTGGCACAATTCGAACGGGATCGAAAGATATATTTTCAGCTTTGTTGTGGAAGTTGTGAAAAACTAAATGTAAAGGAGAGTAGCCCCTTTCTGTTGGCTGAAGACCGGCGGACTGCGATACCTGAGCAGCATTAGAAATGAATTAAAATACTATATACTTGAACACACACACACACACACACACTCCAACTCTTTCTGCAGCATGCTAATGTCCTGCTGGCGTGTCTCTTTCCTCTGATTGGTCAGATCCAGCTCCGTCTTCTGAAGCTTCTTTTTGTTGTGAAAGTCACGCAGCCGGTCTGAGATCTGACGATGTTTGTTGCCCTGTGGTAGAGACAGAGAGGATGACATCACAAACTATCTCTAATGTGTTCTTGTAGGCAACAACTGTATAACTACAGCCGCCTCACCACAGCCTCCAGCTCCATCTCAAGACTCTTTTTCTTAGCTCTCAGTCTGTTGATATCGTCCCTCTCCTGCTCCTTCTTTATCTTGAGCTCTCCTCTCTGCCTCCTCTCCCACTCCTCCTTCCTCTGGCGCTCGAGCTCCCGCTGTGCAGCCTGGATTGAACCCACACAGGACACTGAAGTGTAAATAGACAACTCTGTGCGGCTAGACAAGAGGAAGCATTAATGCAAAGATTCATTCTTGTGAATAAAACTGTCACCTCCTTTCTTTCGATCTCTCTCTGTCGCTCTTCCTCTTTCTGCCTCTCCAGCTCCCTTTGCCTCTCCAGCCTCCTCTCCTCCTCTTTCCTCCTCCTCTCCTCAGCCTCCTGAGCCTCCCTCTCTCTCATCTCTTGCTCCTCTCTCTCCTTCTGAGCACGACGCTCCCTCTCCCTCCTCTCCGCCTCCAGCAGCGTCTGACGTCTTTTCTCCAGTTCTGCGTTCCCTCGCTCCAGGTTGGCTTTGAATTTATCCTCGAACGACACTGAATAAAGACAAATCAAATGTTTTAAAAAGTGAGTGTTTGGGTACTTTTCATGATGATTGGGAGTAAGCAGGCGAAAGAAAAACAAAACAAGATTATGACGTTGTTATTGACGAATGAGTCAGGGATTTTAGAATAGCATGAAGCAGGTGTGTGTCCTTCACCCCTCTCAAACAAAGAGTTTAATCTCACCAACATCTCCCTCCAGGCTCCCTTAAAGAAAGGGTTAAAGATAACAAAAGCAGGGATTTATGAAACATCTATTTATTATAATAATTATTCTGAAGATACTCAAGTTCAAAATGAGAACAAACTGTTCTACAGTTGTCAATTGTTTAGCTAAGATAAAAGCCAAAAGGCTGCCTGCCAGTTGCCGCGAATGCCTTTTGCTTCTAGAGCAGTTTCTGAGCATTTGCAGTCTCTTCTGACCGATGGAGAGGAGTGAGGAATCAGTGGTAGATGAGGGGATCCAACAGTGAACATCATTGTTGTTAATCATTGCAACCAAGAGAGGTCCTTGAGCAAACAGTAATACACGTGCAAGACAAATATTAGATTTAGTAATATGCATGATTAGACAGACAGGTACTAACACACATTTACACACAACAAATATCAGTGTGTTTAGTTGGCAGGCCCGGACTGGCCATCGGGAGGACTGGGAGGTTTCCCGATGGCCTGGCCTGTTAAGTGGCCTGCTGGCCTGAGGAATCTTTTTTTTTTATGTATGTATTGTGAACGCAAAGCTGCGCAAATGTGGGTCTGACTGCCTCACAGAGGGTGACTGGCTATCTACATGCCAGGCCACTTTCATACAGATCATACACTAATGCCCTCGATTGGTCTCTGTGTGTCATTCAAGCAAGGGAGGGTGTGTATGTGTGGCGCGAGCAAGCGAGAGAGAACTCGCACGCGCACCGGTTACGTGTATTGTTGTTGTTAGCATCTGGTGCTAGCTTGCTGAGCTAACGGACATAATGAGCTGTCAACAAGGTGGAGGGAGAATCCTCTGCTGTCAGACTGAGAGACTGATAACTACAGCTCAGGTGAGGTAAACAACTGAGTGTTTAGATAGTTATCTTAGTCTATGTTCTCAGTGGGTCACAAACGGTTTGGACAGCATTTATGTAAACACATATATTTCCATTTGAAGGGGCAGTGATTAGTAAAATATGGATGAATAATAATAAAAAAAATTTAATTAGGTGAAAAAAAGTAAGATAAACTTAAAAAACTTGTTGAGAGCTAAAACTAGTCTTTGCTGCTGCCTCAAAGAGGAGTAGGGGGGAGAGGGGGGAGACGAGTGAGGCTGGTTCAGGAGCCCAGACACACTCACAACTATAAATGAACCAAAAATAAATAAATAAACAAGTTTCAATGTTTATTCATATTGGATATTGTATGTTATTGGTTATGGCCATGTTCTTATGATTGTATGATTATTTAAATGTATACAGTTCTTTTTCATATGGATGTAGTCTCTTTATTTCCCCCTCAAAGTGCACCAGATTGATGCATTTAAATCCAACGTTTAAAAAAAAAAAAATAGGATTTGAGGTCCACCTCNTAAAACAAATACAAATAATAATTTGAACTTTTTAACTGTTGAATTATACGTACAGGGTAATCAACTGAAAAACCAATACAAAATAAAATAAATTATACATTCATATCTACATTTAAATAAATAATATCAAAAATAATAAACAAGTAAATAAACAAGATCAACAAACATGTTGCAGTGCACTGTCACAACCTGAAAACTCCTGAACATATAGCCAACATTTTGGTAAAACATAACATATTCCACTCATTTAAACATTAAAGGCTGGCCCACCGTCATGGTCCAGAAGTAACAGGAAATAAATGTTGAACTACAATTTAAGACCAAATAAAAATGTTTTGGCCACCATGGCAAATGCTTGTAAGGCTGCTCATGTCATCTCTTAAAGATGTTTTGCTAGAAACAAGGGCTGCTCGATTATGGCAAAAATCGTAATCTCGATTATTTGGGTCAATAATTGATATCACGATTATTAAAAACCATTATCCATTTACTTTGAAAACATCAATTTATTGGAGAGAAAAAACGTGAACAGTATGTTTTTAACAGTTGATTAACCTGAACTTTAAGTATAACTCAACTGAAAAAAAAAAATAATAATAATAATACAAAAATAATCGTTATATTTCGATTACGTTGTTTTCGTAATCGTTGCAAGCCATAATCGTAATCGCGACTAAAATACGATTAATTGAGCAGCCCGACACCATAGTCATATTTCATTCGTAAACATTAAAGGTTCAAGGTGAATTAATGAATGTATTTATTGTCAATGAACCACCCTGTGTTATAGTTGCAGTTGTAGTCCCTTAACGCTACATAAGAAAAACAAAATACTCAAACATTCACATAAATCTCTAGCCTGAAGCACAAAACCTTCTAGCATCCAGGTCAAAATATATACATATAAGGTTTTTGTGATTCATGTTTACCTTTTTCCCTTTGGGGGTTCAAGGACAGAGAATGGCGGCATACACTAGAAAGATTGTAACACCCCCGGTACCTTTGTGATATTGGGCTTTTTAAGTGGCCTTTGTGATGCGGTTTTTCTCAGAGTGCATCAGTCACATGATAATATCCATGTGTCAGTGAGGGCCTGAGTCTAAGGGTGTGGTACTGTAACTATTCCAGTAGGCATGTCAGGTATTCACAGCAGAAAATAACTTCCTCCCTCACATAGCCGCATAGAGTCATAAATAGAGTGTGATTTCAGCTGGATTTGGGCCTGACAGTTGTGAGGCAGCTAAGTCTGAAGGTGAAGCTCTTGATTTACTCGTCAATCCAGTTAAGTGTATATGTATAGTGTAATGTACCAACATTCACCTCCGATCCTGGGTTTTGGCTGATAACCAAAATAATATGAGTGCGGCTCAGGGTAGGAGTGTTTCAGCCGTAATCAGCCTAGAAGGTTGGGTGTGGGGTATTAAAAGATAATGTAGAAGCGCACATTTGTTAACCTCTGGGTCATTCTAATGCCCCGATTGCCTCAAATACACTTATCTTAGTTAATGCAGATTTTAATGCATACCAGATTGTGAACATGCATTGAAATGCTGTAAAGGAGAATTTGGCTTGCATTTTAGCTCTCACAGTTAGCCAATAATAGAAATCACGCCTTTTGATGGCTCATCAGAACCTTTGTAATCAAACATCATTACACGTGAATGATATTTCATTTTCAGGCACATCTTATATACTCCACACCTACAGGCATCAAGCGATTATGTTTCGAATCATTCAGTGTGTTACACAAAGCAGGAGAAAACTACATTCTTAAAATTGTCTGTTGTAGTGTGTGTTTGCAATGAGATGTTTCTGCTGTAATAAGCTTTGTCAATAAAGATCATTCATTCATATATGCCTACAGTATGAACATATGACGTCTGATGCATGTAGAAAAACGCTTTCAGTGTGTATGTTAATGCTTAAGTTGCTGCACAATCTTCAGCTGGACTTAAATAAGGAGTCATCGCCTGTATTGCCGTGGGCGCTTATGGTCATCTCTGCTTTTTACTAACTTGTCTCCTGGCAGTTGAACTCATAAAGCCCAGGGCAGACATGCAGCAGCCGTTTGTCCCCATCTGGCTTAAGAAAGCTTTGCATCCCTCAGGAGGAGCCAGAGGTCGCAGCTTCTGTGATCCTGAAAAGTGTTGTAGGATGGTTGGATGGATACATAAATGAATACATTTGGTGATGTAGTCTCTCTGTGTTTACAGCGTGAAGGGCTCCCCTCCAGATGCTTCTGAGTCAAGCGACAGCCTGCATCTTGATGGTACAGTCAAATATCCTCTGAAATATCTGCCTTACTAACTATATTTTATACTTAAAGGTGGGGTAAGTAAGTTTGAGAAACCGGCTCGAGATACACTTTTTGTTATATTCCATGGAATGCTAAAAAAATTTCATCTGTGGAAGCCGTAGTACTGTAAAAAGAACGACCAATCGTTTTAGCCGGCCCGGCTAAAGTAACTGGATGGCCTACCTGCCTGTCAACCTTCCATCTGTGCACAAACTTATCTCGTGCCCTCATTGGTCATGTGCACGTTCGTGTGTGTTGGAGGAGGGGCTCTGTGTATTTTCAAATTCTAGCGCACTCAAGCTGGTTTCTCCAAACTTACCTACCCCACCTTTAATCATCATACAGTTAATTCACCCTGAATACATGAAGCTGTTTCCTATTTAAACTTCTTGTAATTGGTTTTTTAGATGGTGTAAGAGTCAGTGAAGGCATTTCCTATTAGTTTCTGTTTTAAATTATATTTAATGTCTGAATTTTACAATAAAATCCTCAAAATCAAGACCAAGTCTTTGGGAGAAGTCTTAAAATGGCAGGTGCAATCTGCCTTTATGGTAGATACTGCAATGAATGTATGTAAAACAATATCTGGGTTAATGTGTCAGAAATCTGGCTGGTGTGTCAGTTTAATTTAGCAACAAGCCTTGTTTAAGCTGGAGTCTTGAGTTCATTTCCCTTAGTTTATGATCTTATATGATTTATTTTCCTTTCCAGAGTACACGGCTTTGTACACTTATGAGTCTCCGGAGCCGGGGGATCTGACCTTCAGAGAGGGAGATTTGATCCTGGTGAGCAAGAGAGACGGAGAGTGGTGGCACGGCTCGATAGGAGGCAGCTCCGGCGTCTTCCCCAGCAACTACGTCAAACCCAAAGAGGCCGATGTAAGAACACTCAACACAAGCCGATATAAAAGAGAAAACCCTGTAGCCGGTCTTTTACTGTATATTGGGTTACTTTATATTGTCTCCAATGGTAAAACATATCCTGGAGAAAGGGGACTAGCTGCATCAAGACCAGACATCACAACAAATAAGAACACATATGCAAACAGAAGCCAGAGATAAAAACAATCAACCATTTAATCACATGCGCTTAACAATACTTATAGCAACACGAATGCAAGGCATACATCTCAAAAACATACATACTTTTTGGGGGACCCTGTTCTAGACCCCTTCTAGACTTCAAAGCACAAACTCAAAACATGAACATAAACATTGANCCAGAGATAAAAACAATCAACCATTTAATCACATGCGCTTAACAATACTTATAGCAACACGAATGCAAGGCATACATCTCAAAAACATACATACTTTAGTATAAAACTGCTTTTGGGGGACCCTGTTCTAGACCCCTTCTAGACTTCAAAGCACAAACTCAAAACATGAACATAAACATTGATATCAGTTTTGGTATTTGTGGTGGTAGTTAATAACATTATAAAGCAGTGTAATGATGATATAACTGTATTTATTTCAGACATCCAGTTTATCTGCAAAGAAGAAGCCAGGTGAGCTCACAATGTTGTCTTTTTTTTTGGTCTAATCTTTGAAGCCAAGTCACTTAGTCACGTACCAGAATAGAGCAGAATACCCTTTTGTTGCATTTTTTGAAGTTGCATCTTTGTGTTGTGTGCACAGAGATCGCCCAGGTGATGAAGGCCCACCCCTCCACCGGCCCTGAACAGCTCAATCTGGAAAATGGCCAACTCATCCTCATCCTCGGCAAGAACAACTCTGGCTGGTGGCTCGGAGAGCTGCAGGTCAGTTTCCATCTGCTGTTCACAGCTGTGTCTGGATGGACGCTAGAGCTGCTCTCCGTCCACTTGGACTCAAGGGAGGATTTGGAGAAAGTTGTTGACCAGCTGCTGTTCTGTTTGATTTAAATATCATTTTCCTCGTTTGTCTGTGTTATCTGACTCTAGGCCCGTGGCAAAAAGCGTCAGAAGGGCTGGTTTCCTTCCTCTAATGTCAAAGTACTGGGATCCTCCAGCGGCAAATCCACACCAGCACCTCAACCAGGTAACACACACACACACACACACACGCACACACACACACACACACACACATACA